TCTTTGCAAGCCACTTTGACTTTACTTATTTTATTTTTATTTATTCATTGTGCTTATATTCCACCTTTATCTCAAAGGAGCTCAAAGTGGAGTACATGGTTATCCCCCCCATCCTCATTTAATCACAACAACAACCCTGCAAGGTAGGGTTAGGCTGTTTGTTCCGATTCTGCATTAAAGAGTGGACTTACCTGGGGGAAAGCTAAGGGGCAAACCAAAACAAACAAAAGCACTTGGACACTGACCGGGAAATGCCTAGAAATGCAGGGCAAAGTTAAGTGTGGATCAAGAGTATCTCTTATACAATCCATCTGAATACTGAATTCATGTAACAAGAGGAACGTACAAAAGAATTACCAAGTGTTTGGAGTTCAAGGAGCAAGTTAAACCTGAGCAGCTTCTGAAAAGCAAATTAAAATGTTCCTGGCTGAGCCACAGTTAAGCTAGTTAAAGCTTCATATTATTGTAAGCATTTTATCCCAATGCCTTAACTTGAGGTTTTGGAAGAGTCGGGGTTGACAGTGACAGGCCTCTCAGTCACCTCCGCTGGCAGGAAAGCTCAGATGGCAACAGAAAGATTTGTCACAATCCCCAGCACTTTTAATTGCTGTGCTTTCCCCATGTGCTGTCAAAAGCATCTTTGGGGAGCCTGGGAGCAAGGAGATATATGACAGTATGAGGGCAAAATTGAGTGAGAGACATATTCCTCAAACCGTCCGTGTGTTTCTTATGCCTCTGACTTTGGAGACGATGCTAATAATCACAGTCCGTGAAAGGAATAAAAATGGCCCCTTTTATCACCTATCCAGGCTTCTTGAGGCAAGGCTGTGCATGCAACGGGCTTTTCAGAAAACTACTTTTTATTTTTCTAAATTTAAAGCGCTGAGATTCTCTACCCTGACCTCATCCAAGACCTTTGCAGAAGAGAACAGACTTGCAGCCCAAGGAGCAGGTGCCCGCCCTCTCATGCAGAATGCAGATCAAGGCAAAGAGGAAGAGTTTCTCCCAGCACAGAAAAGCAACTCGGGCACTGCTTGGTGTCCAGGGGCTATTCTGAGGCTACAATAAGCTGCTTAAGAGAAGGCGAATGGAATGAACCCCAACAAAGTAGGGATATTAAAAATACATATATAGAAAACATCTACCCTACATTTCTGTCTAGCAAAAAATAGAAGACAGCTCATTTCATTGCAGTAAAAGAAAGGCGGGGGTTAGGTTTCAGACTGGCTGAATTTTTTAATTTTATTTTAACACAATAAGGGTGGAAGAAAGAGAAGGCGGTATTATTCCAAAGTGCATGTGTGCCAGGATGAATCTGGGGAGGTTTTGGATCTGCTGGATCTAAAGTTCTCCCACTCCCATAAATCCTACCCCCAAAGCCCACCTAGGAATAGGTCTGAGAGTGGGGAAGTACAGCAGCATTAAATATGGCGTACTTCTTTTCCCTCTGGCTACCCCATCACTAGCATTCTCTCTGGTTGGTGGAAAACTGGCTGGACTCAAGATTTGATAGTTCTTCTACCACATGGTGCCTGTCACCACAATACTAAGGAAGCAGGATCACCAAAAGTTATTTTTTCTGCTGTGGCTTTCAGAAGTGTTAATGTGTCCGAGACCAGGGAGAAGAGTCGGTGGAAGAAGATTGGAAGAAATTCAAAGACTATTTACAGAAATATTGTAAAATTAATGAATGTTAGAATGATGTCAGAATGAAGTTAAGTGGTTTTAGCAGCAATGTCTTAAAGGTGTATGAAAAAATGGATGTTAATAAGTGAGAATCTAAAGCTATAATATATTAAGTTAAAGGACCAAGACAAAAACAAAGAGGGAAAGGAATTGCTGAATTAACCAATTGAATTGGAATACAAAAAAGGGAGGCGAGAGGAGGTCAGGGAAGTAAGGAAATGGAATGTAAGATACGGAAGGATTGATTTGTTTCTAAGTGTTTTTTATTTTTGTTTTTTCTGTATTTTGTATGTTTTTTCTCTTGTTTTATTTTTTCCCTTGTTTCTTTTCTCTTTAACTATGTAATTTTTTGCTTCTGAAATTTTAATAAATATCATTTTTTTAAAAAAAACAGAAGTGTTAATGTGCACCTTCTCCCTTATTTTATCTCTGAGAATGCTTGCTGCAGCAGTTGGAAGCCCAGATAGTTATGTAACCTTCCCTGTCAACAGCTCAGCCAATTGTCTGAAGTCTGTTTTGGAAGGGGCAACCTGAGAGCCAAAAGGAGTGGCTTACTTTCTTGGTCCACTATTCAAATTCAAGTCAATGTATGACGTGCCATTTGCAGTGACTACTTCTATTATGTGTGTGCCAAGGAAGGGAACCGAAGCTACAGAAGCTGGATCTGAAAGACTCCGCATTCTGCCACGAGTCCTTTGCTGAGAAAACATACGTGCCTCCTTTTCCAAGTCACAGCATTTGTGTTTGCACAAAACAAGCCCACTGCAAAGCCTGGTTTTCTTCTGTAGCAGCTGTACTCTTCCTCTAGGAGCTGATGTGCAATTCTGAGCCACCACTGAGCTGCAGCAGGAAAGCCTGGGAAGTGGCTGAAGCATACATGGTTTCAAAGTGGTCATAGTGCATCACCATCAGGATAGGGTAGGCAACCCTTTGGTGCCCAGACAGAAAGCAGGACAACACTCTACTGGCTTGAAAAGACAAGCACGTACCAGGAAGGTTGCCAGCTGGACATCACTGCTAATTGCAAACCCTTCCAAGCGCACTTCTAATGACCACCCAATGTGGTTTTAAGGACCTTAATGTCTAGTGCTCACGGCACACCTGCCCTGATAACCAGCTATGCATCTTTCTGCAGGTGGGAGGGACTATGCTAACACACACACACCATTGTTAAGGTTGGAGGGTGGGGTGTAGGATTGGACTGTTACAATTCTTCTCCTTTCATTATGCTTGGCCTCATTTACCCTCCCTGACATTTAATCTCTCTGGTTGTGGTGAACCATGTGGTTTCATTTACAAATGTCCGTGACATCACCAAGTCACATGTAACACTGCAACATCATAGACAAAACCGGACTGGTCACTGCAGTTAATCAGCGGGAGGTGAGGGCAGATGAGGGCAAGAGGGAAAAGAAGGTAAATGCAGAAAAGGAGCAGCAGCTGACGGGGGACCAAAAGGCTGCTGAACAATTTTGAAGTAATTCGGGTATGGTTGCAGCAGGTATCAAAACTGCCAAAAATGGGAAGGACTTTTCAACACATACGAAAGTTAACTAAAGACAAATTGAGACATTTTGGTTCATTTTCACAGATGGCAACAAGAATGGGCACATTCGCTTTCGGGCACTTTGAATTGCACAGATTAAACTAATTGTCCTCTTGGTTCAACCAGAATATATCTAATAACCCCAGTGCAGTGTGTACTTACCTGTGTCTACTAAGAAAACCCCATAGTTATTGTGCAGATCGGAGCTCTCAGGACAGTTCTCTATTCCAGCCCGGTACACTTCCTCTGCTTCTTTTAATTGGTCCTTAACACAAAAAGAGTTAGCAAACGTGGTTACCCAGAGGGCTATCAGCCTCGCTACTCATGGCTACTTGTACATTTCTTTCCTGGAAATACTTATGGGCTTATTGGGGAAGGGTTCAGGATATTTCCTTCTGAATGCATAGGAGACTGCTTGAGAATGTTATGCAAGCCGTTCTGAGCTCCTTGGAGAAAGAGACTGCCATATAAGAGACTGAAGTACATTAATAGCACTGATGAAAACATAATGTTCCCATGAGAACAGAAGCTCCTGTGATATGCTTGAAGGTGAGCATGATGCTGCCGCTGCCCCAGATAGGCTCAAGAACAGAGGGAAACGCTTTCTGCTTGCACGGCAGCTGCGCCTGCACTTCAAAGATCAGTGCGCTGTGAGGCATAACGCTGAATCATATCCATGAAAGGGTCTGCACTCATCGGGGTCAAGAAGTAGGCAGGCAGGTGCTGTGTGAGATATCATCATCACACATGGTGAGCTTGAGAATAATCTGAGGCCACAGGAGAGATTTTCACAGCTAACCTGCATATATTCTAGATAGGGGCATATGATGTGCGAAAATCTTTTGTATTTAATTGTGCTCAGATTTTTGAATCTGAATTATGCAAACTGAGCCTATCTGTACATTTAAGGATTTTACAGCATTTATTCTCCTCCTGTTAATCTTCAGGAGGGACAAAAGCTTTGGGAGCTGCTAGGTCCTAAAAAGGCACAAAGGTCTTCAGGACACAAGGAAAATTGGCTGTTGGTGTAAGTGAAACACTCTGGAGTTTTGGCAGAAAATAATTATTTCATTTCACAATCCATGAAAACTCGGCAGAATGGAACTGGGTGGGTTCACACATCCCAAGCAAATATATTTATTTTATTTTACTATTTTATTTAGAAGCATTTACATGCAGCTTAGTATTTCAAAAACTTCTAAGCAGTGTACAGTTTAAACAATATACAATTAAAACAAAAATGCAACTAAAACAGCAATAGGCAGCCCTGTTCAGGGAAGTTTTTAATCTGTGATATTTTAGTGTATTTTTGGTTTCTATGGAAGCCGCCCAGAGTGGCTGGGGAAACCCAGCCAGATGGGCGGGGTACAAATAAATTATTATTATTATTATTATTAATAGAAAAACACACAAAAGCATATAGAGGCATTGCCGACATGTCAAACAGGGTCCAATCTTACAGGCCAGGGAAAGCCTGGACAAAAAGGCAAGTCTTCCCAATATAGTTTTCTAAGTTGCACATCAGAGAAAAACCCAGACATAGATCAAAATGTTCCTGGTTTAGGCCCCAGGTACTGGTGTCGGCTACAACATGTTTCCTAATTTCCAGATGAGAAGCTGCATTGGCCTCTTGCAGCTGTTTCCTGCAGGCTTTTTGTTACTCACGTTCCTCCCCCTCAGGGGTTTTTAAAGCACTCACACCTCACAGCTCTTGTCACCCTTTAAAATGCACTACACGAGCCCACAACCCTGAGATTAAGAGACTCATGCTGGATAGCTCAGTTGGCTAGAGTTTGGTGCTGATAATGCCAAGGTTGCAGGTTTGATCCCCGTAAGGGAGAGCTGCATATTCCTGCATTGCAGGGGATTGGACTAAATGATCCTCAGAGGCTCTTCCAACTCTATGATTCTATGCTATCTCTGAGCTATCCCTATAGCGCTTTGAATTCCACAAGCATCACAGGAGAAGCGGCTATTCTTAAAGGTACAGAATCTTCAAAAGCAGCGAAGTGCTTGCAGTTAAGTTTGGGGCTCACTACAACACTGGCTTGTGTAATCGTCCTCCCTTTGCAAGTCTGCTCTCATTTGAAAATCACCTTTCGAGGGGAGGACAGGGTAATTACGCTGACTTACAGCCCAACTCCCTTGAGCATGGAACATTAATCTTAAGTGCCCCTTTTTACAACTACTGGAGCAAAGGAACGTCAAGGCTCATTTTAGATTCTTACATTGCAAGGGGAAACGTGCTGTGCAGGATCAACTGAATCAACCAGAAAGCTCCCTCCTCCTCCCTTTCCCAGATTATAATAAAAATAAATCCAGAACCCACAATTAATCAGTCTGCTTACTTCATAGTAGCTGCAGAGAGTGTGACTTCTACCGCTTGACCTGATCCTCCTGTTAGTCTGGCAGCGTGGGAGCGCTAGTAGAGCTGCTGCTGTGCGCCCCCAGGTAACTTGCCAAGCCCCACACCATGCAGAAGGAGCCTTTGCTGCAGCTCCTGTGCACTCCCAAAACTAACTCAGTCTACCAAGGGATGGCACTGGCAATAGGGAGGAGTCAGAGCTGCACATGTTGCTAGAGTACAGCCTCCCCAAACCTGGTTCCCTCCTGGACTACAACTCCCATCAGCCCCAGCCAGCATGGCCAATGGTCAGGGATGGTGGGAGCTGAAGTGTAAAAAAAAATCTGGAGGGCACCACGTTGGGGAATGTTACCATGGTGGAAGGAGAAGAAGTGCATCAGTGACTCCCATCCCAGTGGGCAGGGATCTAATAAGACATTGGGGCTCCCCTGTAGCTACTGAGAGAAGATACTTTCCTCATCTATTTACAACTGAGCCAATGCTGCTCCTCCCACAATGTGGACACCATGTTCACATGCCACAAAGTTGTGGGGAAGGACCTTTCAATGGTTCTGGGGGCAATGGCAACCCCAACCATGAGGGTCATCCAGTTCAACCCAAGAAACCCTGAGATTAATAGTCTCGTGCTCTACCGACTGAACTATCCACTTGCAGCACATCTATTGCCCTGGACCATTTTTTAAATTAAAAGTTGATGAGTCAGTGAAGACCCGTATATTTTATTTATTGATTAAATTTCTATATCGCCTTTCATCCAAGGATCACAGGGTGGTTCACAAGTGACCCAAACATATGATTCTAACAGTTCACCAAACTGATGCTTCATGTTATTACCTCCTCAGATGAGATAATGTCTTGAGGGAACAGGCAGATCGAGAATGAGCCTCTCCTATTACCTTTTCTATCGTTGTTGCAGACAAGAAGTTTACTGCTGCTAGGGGACAACTGTTTTTGACTCGCAACCTCTTTGACTCAATATTAGTTATTGCTCTAATGGCCTTATGACCGGTGCTCCACAGTATTGAAAATCCATACTCTTTAAGTCTGTTGTCACTGAGAGCAATTAATTTCGTTTATTCTCTGGAGGTGGTTCAAAATGAAGACAGCCTTACTCATGCCCCACCTGCAAAGAGGAAAAATCAGTATGCGCCACTGGCTCCCAACTCTGCAAGCGATGATAAAGCAACCCAGCATCAGAATCCCAAAGGCAAAGCCCTGGTTTCCTTATCCTTGCACTATTTTCCACATGCCTACGTAGATGTAACAGTATACCTACAGTGAATGAGAGAAAGGATTCCTGCCTACGACAGTGCTTTTATTGACATAATCATTCATTTTCCATAGGTAAACACAAATAAATGAAAACATTTCAGAGATGCTTCTGACATGTTTTACATATTTGCAAAATGGGGCACCTGCCTCATTGGGACAGGCAAGAGGTATATCTTCAAAAGTTGTACGCTGTTTCCCAACCCTAACACTAACCCTATAACCCTTTGCATGCACAAAGTCCACATTCAGTCCCAGGTATTATCTAACTAGGGCTGGGAAATATTCTCTTGCCGGATATTGCGAGTCTGTGTAAATAGTACTGAGATACATGAGCCACAAACGACAGCTTCCCATGTTGTACGTGCAGCAAGGAACACATGAATGTGCCTAACATCCCTTGGTGTGCATGAGACTTTTGGTGGGCGATTATGCAAGTTTAGCAGCTGTTGCCTTCACAGCTCCATGCCTCTCCTGAGCAACAGAATAGGGAAAAAAAATAGAATACGGAGGGGGGACCACCACAATATAAAATGCATCATTTCTACAGGTGGTATAATTCAGGTACAGAAACCGACACACAACTGGGGCTAGGTTAGTATAGAATTGCCTTCATTTTTAACAATTTCATGGTTTTTTCCTGCGTGGAAAGTAGACATCTCTTATCACAGGCATGTGTCCAACAGAGCTGAAAATTAGCATTAGTATACAGTACAAAGCATAGGTGGTGAACTGGAATGGAACTGGTTACCTGTTCAGCCAACAGTGAAGCGAGGCTGGAGTAAGCATCTGCAAAATCTGGTCCATACTGAATGGAATCTCTCAGTAAGAGAACAGCTTCTTCCTTCTTCCCCCGGGACCTGTAAGTCATAGGAATTTGGATGGGGGAGAGAGAAGGCAGTTCTCTTAACAACTTTCTCAGCTCACCAATTGATTAAAAATACCGTTAACAGACTCGAAAGTGCCTGTCTTCTCCTTTTCAGAAAGGGCTAGATAATTAAATTTTCTTCTATCGAGCGTCTCCTGGGGCAATATCATATTGCACAGCCTGACAGCACAAAGAGGAGTGGGAGCAGCCACTGGATATGAGCTACGTTGTGTGCCTTGGCACCTGCTGGCAACATTTTCTGTAGCCTGCTGGGCAGCACATGCAATTCCTACAAAAGCCCCTTCTCTCCCTTGTCAGCACTTCTTTCCATTTGCTATTGTATTGGGGCAACACAAATCTCCCAGGTAACCTGAGTGAAGCAAACCAGGCTGATGGAAAACTCAAAATACTGGAGGTGGGGGAAGATGAGGATCTGTATAAGAAACTGTGTGGTTCTCACTGTGAATCGTGCAACCCAATCTTCTCAGTTTCTGACCGTTACTCCAGGAAGGAGGCAGAGGGAATCGTTTTTCTCTACTTCTGAAACTCCACATAAACTAGAGATGCTTAGCAGTCTAATTTTACATGCTGGTTCTCCATATGTGTTCCAGCGTCATGCTGAGAGGAAGAGGACCGCAGTGAGCTGGGTTGGTGTCGTTAAAACATATAGCTAGTCAAATTGCACATCGCGCATTTAAAGCAAATTTATATGGCTTCTCCCAAAGAATCCTGAGAACTGTAGTTCACCTGCCACAGAGCTACAATTCCCAGCACCCACCACAGGCTACAGGTCTCAGGTTTCTTTGGGTATCTGGGGTTAAAGCTAGACTTTATGACATATATGTGGCCGAAGTTGAAAATGACAGCCCTGTGCCACCTCCTCTCTCTTCTCTGTAACATTTTATTAATAAAGAATACAGAATTATTCTGAGAATGTAACTTCATCATGCTTCACGTGTTTTGTATTACTGTAGACATTACTGCGGGGGAGACACTGGGCAGCTGCTTTTGGAAGCAGACAGGCCTCTCTTGTGACCTAGCCTCAGTACACCTGCAGCCGCCATTTCCTGCTTTAGAAGGAGTGAAACTGAAACAGAAAACATTGTGCCCAGCTATGCAAATAGGTCAACTTATATACATCAGAGCCTACTGCATGTAAATCTGACAGCAAAGGAAAACACGTTGAAAGTCATATACTGCCAAGTGCAAATGTTTAACCTGGGAGGGGAAAGTTTGCGGTGTCTTTCAGATGTTCATGCCACCCTTAGCTAACAGCTCCAGATGCTGGCGGAATATTGATGTACTGTGGAAAAAGGAGCTGGCAGGCCCAAAGCACATTCAGTAATGACAAACCATAGTTTATTGTTACGATTAAATGCAGCTAGTGTCATTTTGATAAACGCTAACTCTACAAGGATCAGGTGTAGGATGCCTACCTTCTTTTGGCTTTCCACCTGCTCCAAGTTATTACTGTCCATAAATTCCACTGTGGTCCACCTTTTAAAAAATCAGCTGCAATATTTGCCTTCAGAATTGAAGTCCCTGAGAAGGGCAAACTACAAATTGCTTAGTGAGACCTGGGCCTCCCGTGAATCAGCAGGAGACGGCTCAACAAATGAAAAGTTCCCCAGAAGCACTGATTAAGGAGCACACTTGCCCTCTGGGAGCCATTAGCTTTAATATCTTGGACTAAAGTCATTTACTGGTAGTCTCTCTCTCCCTCTCTACTTCTGACTCCCATATCTATAAAATCAGCACAGGGCATGGTAAGCTCAAACAGGCCCCATTTTTTTCCGCGTCTGAGGTTGCCATAGGGAAAAGCAGGGATATAAAAGTGAAGAGAGGAGCATGATGAAGCTCAACAGTAATTGAGGAAATAATGAGAGGGAAATGACACCGCTTCTGTCACTGCCTGCCCATGCCGCCATCTTGGCCGCTCACGAATGAAGAGCATAATATGACATTGGACTCCCTACCGGTTGTCTCCCAGTCTGTGTGTGAGGAAGGCTTTCTAAAGTTAGATGCAAACATGTGCAAACAAAGCACTAACAGGCATGTAAAGGAAAATGGCTGAGAGAATCATTTTGAGTGTTTAAGTGCCCTTCTGTTCAGCCATTTTCCCTCCATCTCAGCTGTCTTAGCTTTATGACATACATTTCTATGTAATGAGCAGTCTTCCTCTCAGACTTCCAAAGCCAGGGATTTTACTCCTTGAGGGCCATTTCCCAGAGCTTATTTTAAACCAGCTGGAGCAGGCTCACAAGCAACTCCCACATTTAAAAATGCAACAAGGGAATGGTTTGTGTGTGTGCTGCTTCAAGAAACACTATATACACTGATGCTTC